ATGAACAGTCCTCAATTGTGGAATCATCTTGTTTATATGGTACCCGAAGTCACATGTCTGCAACGTGAGAAACGTGACCCCTTTTGTTCCTAGATGTTCTAGTCAGACAGCTGACTTAGGGATATGTTTTATTTTACATTGCACCATATGTTGTCAAGTGTGTTTTTGAGGGGCTTTGGCACGGTTTTTAAAATCCAACAATTTTTATCTCTTTATTTTTTAAACTGGGATTATCACATTATTCTAGGCTTGACATATCCCATGTGCCAAGGTGTTTGTCAGCCTGTTCAGAGGCTGTGCTATCAGCACCCTCGCGGCGGCCAGTTAAGGGAGAATGGAGGCGGCAAGGGAGCTGTAATCTTGCTGTTTATCTTACTCTGCTCCCTCATGCACCCTGCTGTGATGCTGGACACCAGAATATGATGTCACTCCAGCCCTGACATCAATAAAAAGAGCGCGAGGGAGCAGAGCAATAAGATGTCCGCAGCCACACTGGATCCCAGGGAAAAGATCCACTCCAGTTCTCCCAAAAAGTAGTCAATGTCAGTGGACTTAAATGAAAACATAATTTGTGAGTGAGTAATTGGTTGCTGCAGCACCCATAGCCCTGGGAGGTGGCTGGAAGATGCATACATGGCACTCTATGCAATCATAAATATGAACCAATCATCTCCTACGCTCGCCCAACTTGGTCCACCCAAATTGACCTTGTTTATATGATTATTGCTCCCTGTAAATTTATTCCACCCTTTTATTGAAATATGATTGTGTGTGTCATGGCAGATTCAGGAATAGGGGAGAGAAGAATCTCATGGAAGGAAAGTTAATAATATCCTATTTAAATATTCTCTTTAATTCAATGAAAAAAACGATATCAGCTCTATCATGAATATGGTATCCAAGACAAAGTCCTCTTGGGTGACCAATAAGATGGATTTTAAAGCAGCTAAAATCTTTAAGAAATACTCACTTTGACTGTGTTGGAATTTCACTAACATTCCAAACCAGTTAAAAGATATAAAACAAAATAGAGACTACTTTGTCCTTGTCACTAATAACAGCTGAGGGGAAAAAAAATGTTCCTGTGGGATATTCCATAGACATCAGTGTTGTACTCTCATTCATTCTAGAAAGCACAAAGCAGTCATCAGCTCCTAGCAGATGAATCGCCATGAAGCTGAAGAAGACCTCGCAGACGAAGATGGCGGCACCGGCAAGGTACTGGATCAGATAAGTAAAAACTACCTTCCACTGCACGGCATGGCCTCTGGAATGCAAGCAGAGCATTCACCGTTTGCAAAATATGGAAAGACCCCAGACGGTGACAGAGCTTCTTTAAAAGCCAATCCTAAATTGTTGGAACCAGCTTTACAGAGGTCTATTTAAAAAGTGCCACATTTCAGAACTTCTGTGTCGAGACAATAGGATCTTCCCGAGTGTATGTTCATGAATTTAAAAAAATAGTTCAAATTAAAATCATACTCAACCATATTGGCGATAAGTAAAAAAAACTTACTGAAAGCTGCATGGAACAATTATTAGTATGCTCATACTAGAAGGCTTTTGCATTGTACCACTTTACTGTGAGAAATTTGCGACAAGGCCTTTATTATACTAAAGTTTAGCTTCCTCGGGGCAAGACGTCACACCACTAGATTGGAAGCTCCCGGGACAGAGCAGCCATTATACAACTAGGCTTGAAGCTCAATATATAAATTTAGTGGCTGATAACACTCACTTAATTGTAAAAAAATGTTGTTATACTTGTGATTTTGTTAATTATGACACATATCACTAATAATTTTGTATAAAACTGCACAGATTAATTGAATTAAATGTGCAAATCTCTAAATATATAAATGAAGGATTAGTTCATGACTTTTGCTTTAGTCTTACTGTGAATAACAGCACAGGTACACTAGTAGAAGGGTGTCATCTGCAATCATAGTAAACAGAAAAAAACCCAAAAACAATTAGACAGTAGCATTTTTTATAAAACTAGAAGAGATTTGATTCATCTAAACTTGTACCCGCAGTATGAGTTTGTGTACTAACATGCCTAGGCAATACAGTGAAAATGCATTGTTGTCAATTTGAATACTCTAGTCTACACTGCTATAAGGCAATTTCTAAGAGTATTATACCTGGCAAACAAAAGACAATCCATGGTGCATTCACTGTCAACTCCATTTATAAATGGGTGGTAGATCCAAACATTGATCATTATATATAAGGTTGGTTTTATTTAGAATTATGTCACTTCATATTTCCAGATGATTCCACTTTGGTATTCACCCAGTAGAACAACAAATTTCTAGAGCAGGCACTGCTTGTAAGAGAGAGGGGTGGACTCCTTAGGGGTTCTAAGAAAAACATATTGAGACTTGTTCAGTCTGCTTCAGGTATGAATGTCTGTCTTATTAAGTAGGCATTCTATTTATGCAGCATTACAGCTATACACAGCCACAGTAGACAAAACATTTTGACTGTGTGAAAATCCACATTCTACAAGATATCCCCAAATATTTGAATGTAAGGTACTTGAGAAAACGTTTATTTTGTATGTTGTTGGTCAAAACCTATGTTTGTTTCTGTGCTACTGTAAGACAGACAATAGATTCATGAATACTTTATTCATAAAATCTCTGCAATAAATAAATGATAGCAAACAAGATTATTCTCTAAACATACTTGATTTTATATGTTGTACTCAAAGATCCTTATAAACAGCTGAAATGCCCTTCTTCATTGTCATGCCAAGTTTTAAATATATGGTATGTATAGCTTTCCACAATCACCATAAGAAGTTATTAGTAGGTCAGATGATTACTCACAAAACCTTACCGAGCCCTTATTCCACACCTTTGTATTAGTTTACTACTGCCGGACAGTATAAAATCGAGAACACATTCTAGCACTGAAAAGTTCCACCTTCCTCCCCCACACAAACATCAATAAAGCTGTATACACCCACCACAGATAAGAATGTATATTTGGTGCAGAAATGTAAATTCAAAGATTACATTCTTAACCCCTACTCTAGGTTCAAATTCAGGGAATAACAATGTAAAAACGTATAAGGTCTCTCTGGCAACCACAGAGGCAGGCCTTAACCAATACAGTAGGTTATTTGGTAGTGGGCAGAAGCAATATTGTAAATCCCCAATGTATAGCTGTAAAGTGCTGTCAAATATTATTGGCACTATATAATTTAATCACTATACTAAGAAGGCTACAGAATATGAATATATGTGACTTGATAAACTCAAGAAACCAGAAGGCAAATGCTAAAATGTTACTGTTGACTCTTAAAGGACCACTCTAGGCACCCACACCACTTCAGCTTAATTAAGTGGTCTGGGTGCCAGGTCCAGCTAGGGTTAACCCATTGTTTTATAAACATAGCAGTTTCAGAGAAATTGCTATGTTTATCAATGGGTTAAAGGACCACTATAGTGCCAGGAAAACATACTCGTTTTCCTGGCACAATAGTGCCCTGAGGGTGCCCCCACCCTCAGGGTCCCCCTCCCGCCCGGCTCTGGAACGGGGAAAGGGGTAAAAACTTACCTTTTTCCAGCGCTGGGCGGGGAGCTCTCCTCCTCTGTTCCTCCTCCTGGGCTGAATGCGCACGCGCGGCAAGAGCTGCATTCAGCCGGTCATAATGCTTTCCTATGGACGCTGGCGTGCTCTCACTGTGAAAATCACAGTGAGAATCACGCAAGCGCCTCTAGTGGCTGTCAATGAGACAGCCACTTGAGGAAATAGGGGAAGGCTTAACCCATTCATAAACATAGCAGTTTCTCTGAAACTGCTATGTTTATGAAAAAATGGGTTAATCCTAGCTGGACCTGGCACCCAGACCACTTCATTAAGCTGAAGTGGTCTGGGTACCTAGAGTGGTCATTTAAGCCTTCCCCCAAAGCCTCTAGCGGCTGTCTCATTGACAGCCGCTAGAGGCGCTTGCGTGCTTCTCACTGTGATTTTTACAGTGAGAGCACGCCAGCGTCCATAGGAAAGCATTGATAATGCTTTCCTATGCGACCGGCTGAATGCACGCGCAGCTCTTGCCGCGCGTGCGCATTCAGCTGACGGGGCGGATCGGAGGCGGAGAGCTCCCCACCCAGCGCTGGAAAAAGGTAAGTTTTTTACCCCTTTGCCCCTTCAAGAGCCGGGAGGGAGGGGGACCCTGAGGGTGAGGGCACCCTCAGGGCACTATAGTGCCAGGAAAACGAGTATGTTTTCCTGGCACTATAGTGGTCCTTTAACTGGCCATTTAGTCATAACTCTGAAAGGGTAAATACTCTAAAGTGTGAATTGTTGGGAATTCAAACTATAAGTTGCAATACCCACCACTAAAAACATACTCGACTTATTTAAAAAAAAAATAAAAAAAAAATCCACTATGGCTATTATGGCCTAAAATGTTTAATTCTTTTTGAAGACCCCGCAATTCACACTTTAGTTAACAACACTGTCAGCATACTACTTTACTAAAATAAAAAGGTGCCAAAAAAAAAAAAAAAAAAAAGACGTTTTTATGAAATCTTTCCAGCTCCTAAGTTTTTACAAATAAACTTTCAACTGCTAGTATAACAACATATAAAACATGAGTCAACGAAAGACATAAAATCACCATAAACAGTTGTAACAACTGAAGGAAAGTTTAAAAAAAAAAAAAAGTTAACCAGATCCAACTGTTCCAAAAGTAAATCGCCGTACTTTTAGGAAAGAAATTCAAAAAAAGGAGAACAGTTTGTTATTCCTGATCTTTTGCAAACCACAAAAAAAAAAAATAAAAAAAATAAAAAAAAAAAAAACTGTATGTATAAAGAAGTTCTGTTGTGTTTTGCAAAGTTTAGAAATAAACCTCTTTTCTTTTTGTGTATTTCTTCCCTTTCTTTAAATACACACATTATATATATATAAAAAACACACCCTGCCCTGAATGTGTGAAAGCTACCAGCATGAAATCAGAAGGCAGTCACTAGTCACCTACTTACTTCATGCCTTTTCAGATGTTTCGGTTGCCCAGGCCATCCTCCTGTAGGGGGTGGTCAGCAGGCCCTGCAGGGACAGTCACTTTCTGCTTGAGCTCAGCCAAGGCATCAGACAGCAGCCCCAGGTGTCATGGACTGGAAGCCCACAGTAAGTCCAGGCACAGTGACTTTGTTGGGAGGGTGAGTAGTTTCTTTCTTTATTCAGTGTGAGTTCTCTCCCTACATTCCTTTTCTTCCTCCTTCACTACCTTTCTATCACCCTCATTCACTCTCCTTTCACAATCCCCCTCCCTCTTCCTGTCTATACTTCTCTTTCTTCTCCTCTCCCTGTCCGCACTGGGCTCTCCCCTCTCTGCACTCTCTATCCCCCAGCCCCCTTCCCTCCTACCTTACTTCCTCCCCGTGACGTCACGCACACCATGCCCAGCCCCTCTCTTTTGCCATAGGCGGTTCCACGTACCGAGTCCTCCTGTAACCATAGAGTCTTCCGCACAGAACGGTCTCTACCATAGAAGTGCGCCAGTAAATCCTTCAAGTCTTCCAAACCATAGAGACGACGGAGCTAGATAATCCTTTCTAATAGAACGACGCTCTGTTTTTTTCCTCTCTCTCGTTTCTGAGCCTGCGCAGTGGGTGGTGTGCGCCGAGTTTGGCGGGAAAAGACGTAAACATGGCTGATTCTGGGTGAGTTTACCTGTGTCTCAGGTGAGAGGCAATTACATGCTCTGTCTACGAGTTTAGTTTAAAACCCTTAGTTCCTTACGTTATTCTGAAGTCTTATTATGCCTTGAAATGTTTTGTAGTGTTAACGTTATATTTTAAAATATTCAGCTGGGAAAATTATAATTTATTTACCTGTATAGTCACCAGAACAATTACAGCTTATTGAATTTGTTCTGGTGAGTAGAATCATTACCGTTAGGCTTTTTGCTGTAAGCAGTGTCTTTTCAGAGAAAATGCAGTGTTTACATTACAGCCTAGTGATAACTTCACTGGCCACTCCTCAGATAGCTGTTAGAGATCCTTCCTGCGTCATGGCTGCCTAAAATGCGTCCAAAAATTCAGTGTCTCCTCCCTCTGCATGCACACACTGAACTTTCCTCATATAGATTAATTGATTCAATTCATCTCTATGAGGAGATGCTGATTGGCCAGGGCTGTGTTTGAATTGTGCTGGCTCTGCCCCTGATCTTCCTCCTTGTCAGTCTCAGCCAATCCTATGGGGAAGCATTGTGATTGGATCAGGCTACCACTTGTGATGATGTCAGCAGACTGGTTGTTTTCCTGAGTCACACAGCATGCAGAGTTACAGCTTCAGGCTTGAAAACAGTAAGGTTTTGCTATATTTATAGAGGCATCAGGCTAGATGGTGGTTTTAACACTATAGGGTCAGGAATACAGGTTTGTGTTCCTGACCCTATAGTGATCCTTTAAGTGACCTAAAAGTTTGCTAATAGAAGAGGAGTATAAATTCCCTTTCTTTAGGGGACACATAACCCTACATGGAGACTTTTTTACATCTTGAAGCAGCTCTTAAATTAATATTATTATCATCGCCGTTTAGTTTTACAATATTATGATAGGGGGGTTTAACTATAAATAGGACAATTACAAGAAAAAGTACAGAAATGATAGGTTGAAGAGGACCCTGCTCAAACGAGCTTACAGTCTATAGGATCATACATTGTTAGAGTATTTAAAGGGACACTATAGTCACCAAAACAACTTATGCTTAAAGTGACTCTACTGGCCAAATACTAAATTAATAAAAATCACAGTTTAGTAGATATTCCCCAAATGAAAACTCTTGTGCTTTTTACTTTTACATTTTTTATTTTTCATTGGGGTGTGTGTATGTATATGTGTGTATATATATATATGTGTATATATATATGTGTATATATATATATATATATATATATATATATATATATAAATAATTTGGGGGTCTAGCCAACTCCTTGGTTTTGCACCCCTCCCTGTCACAGGTGCCTCATCCCAGGGCCCTATTTAGCCTTGTATACTCCTCCATATGGGCTGAATCCAGAAGCGACGGTTGGGTACTGGATATTAACCCCTTAAGGACCAAACTTCTGGAATAAAAGGGAATCATGACATGTCACACATGTCATGTGTCCTTAAGGGTTTAATCGGAGAGGATAACAACTAGAATTTTTCGAGCATCCTCCCAACAGGTCTTTTCAACTCACAAAGTGGCCAGGGGACAAAGAGAAGCGCATGGCCCTACGGAACTTCATTTTATCCCTACAAGCAGAGAAAGTTACCATAAAGGTGCCAACAGGTACTCGCACATCTTCCTAACGAAAAAATCCTCAGGATGATGGAGACCCATTCTAGATCTGCACAGATTAAACAGGCATCTACACATTCGCAGATTCAAGATGGAATCCCTGCAGTCTATAATAAAAGTAGTGTCACCCAACCAGTGGATGTTGTTTATATATCTATTAGACGCCTACTTTCACATACCCATTGCACAGTC